ATTCAAACAAATTATATAATTCAATTAGTAATAACTATTTAATATAATTGATTAAAATTAGTTTACAAATCAAATATATTAAAAGAGATTAATTACTATGCACTTGTTAGAACAAGAAAGCTTCTAAGCAATTCTTTGTTTGATGATAACAATCATATATTTTGTGAGTAACAATTTTAGTGCTACTAATGGTTTTATTGAGTGTGCAGATCTAATAACAAGAAACATTCTATAAAAGAGCTTGCGCAAATATAACTCACAAAGCTGAAGATACAAGAATTAGAAAACTTCTACAACTGAAGTTGTCTCTCAAGATAAGTTATTGCCTATACATCTGAAGACATGATCGTCCATCAGAAAGATTCTAAGAGCTTGTGCAAATATAACTCAGAAACTTGAAGATACAAGAATCAGAAGGCTTTTACAACTAAAGTCGACTTTCAGATAAGCTGATGCCTAAAGCTCTGAAAACAAGAAGTGTTCCTAAAATTCAATCTAGTGTTTCTACGCTACATTAAATCATTGATTTCTGAACTACTCATCAGAAGAACAAGACAAGCAATAAGTCTCAAGCTCAGTACTTCAGAAACAAAAATAAAATATTTCGGAGAAATCAAGTTCTACAGAAACAAGTTAAACAAAGACCAGAAAAGTCCAGATACATCTTCAGTAGTGCTCTAATCAAAACTGACAAATGATCACAGTTTTCGAGAAGAACAATGATGGCAATTCTCAGCTATATCTTGGATAGATAAAAATAAGAAATCATGCCTCCTACATAGTAATTATTACAAAAGGTAGATTTGTATTGAAAACATATCAAACTGCAAAATGCACATTACAATGCATTATATGCTCCAACAGTACTATTCTCTCAAGCCTATATAAAGCAACTTTGGTATACGTATGGCTGAATAACACCAAGAATTTCACAAGCACAAAGTAGTATAACTTAAAATGCAATATTTACACTGATTTGTTGCTCTACGGTGTAATATTTTATTAAGCATATTAAAGTGTTAACAACTTACTAAGAAGCAACATGTTCATCACAACTTAGTTCCAAAAAAGGTTGTCAATCTTAGAAGAAAAACATCACAACAACAGAAAGAATGAAGGATCAACGAGCAATAAGAAACTTGCGTCAATACTCGTGTCTTGATCATTGAAGAAAAGAAGATGAAGATCTCAACAAGATGTCATTCAAAATATAAATCAAAATGTATCTCAAGAGAAACTAGAAAAGAAGAAAGAAGTTATTTATTCAGCTTGATTAACAAAGAAGATAAAGATAATAAGACTACAAGATGTTTTGCACTTAATCTCCATAACACTCAATCTTGTAGAAACATGCAAAACATAAGAGTTGTTGCTCTGGTTGTGTTATCTCTTAGAAACTTTCATGTAAATTGTTTTAGACAACGAAGTTTTTGCTCAAAAGTTTGTCAAAAAATATGTACTCTAAGTAGGAGAAATCTGCTTGATAAAAAGCACTCATGTAAATCTTCAGAAAAATAATTCTTTCTAGAATTGGTGTTTCCTCAAGTGACTTTCTAGTCTATCTACTTGAGAATGCTAAGAGGTATTTCTAGACTCTTAGAGGTTGTTGTAATCTTTCAAGATTAGTGGATCAAATTTTTTTCTAAGGCAAAATCACCTGAGGAGGGTGGATAAGATATAGCCTTGGTTGTGAAGGTGAACTTGTATAAAAATGAATGTGTTCTTTACTACTATTAATTTCTACTTGCTCAAAGACTTCCGCAAACTCTTTAGAAAGGGAAAAAGTTTTTATCAACACAATTCAAACTTCTATTTCTTGTGTTTTTCTCCACCTTCAACACCGTCAGTGTTAAACTTTTTACACAGTCAATGCATCACAACTATCCACTAATGCTATTTAATACATAATTAAAATAAAAATAAAATATAATTTACAATCTATCTATCATGATTTAGAGACAGTGTAAAACTTGTTTGCACTGCAAGTGTATTCAAATTAAATTTATATTAAAAATTATTGAATGTAATTTTCATTTTCATTAAATTTAAGGGAATTGAAAACAAATACTTTTAATTTCTCTCTATTTAATTATGCAATTATTATTTTAATTATATAATTATTATTTTAATTAGTAATAAAAGCATATTATTATTATTATATCATTTATACTATTTCACTTGAGTATAAAGTACAAGCATATATAATTTTTAATTAAAATATTTAGCTAAGATATATTTAAATTGCAAACTAAATAATCATATATTTAATTTGTTATAAATTAAATAGACAATTATTACTAATTTTTTCAATTCTATAAAATAAATGAAAATCTCTACTTTGTATTATAAATCCTCTATACAAACGGAAGTTTTTTATAACATAAATTCAAAAAGAAATCCATTTTAAATACATGAGTCAACACCTAAATGAACTAAAAATCAATGATAATTCCAATTATCGCTTTGATAACTCTTGACTGCAATTTTCTTCATTTGGAACTGTAGAATAATGGTTGCATGTTACTCATTAGACTCTTGGCTACAAACCAAAGAAGAGAAAAATATATAAGTCATGATAAATTTTATAAGAACAGTGAATAAAAATTAATCTTTAATTAATATATAATAATAATAGTGATAAACTTTACTTACTCTAAGAGATCTTTTCAATAAGCATCGCTTGCGTCTTCCTACATGAAATCTTCTAACATTTTAAAAGTTGTTGTAGTTGAAGAAGAATTAGTAGAACACTCATTTTGGTAGTATAGATACTACAAACCCACTCATGTTGACTATAAATAAATGTCTACTAATTAAAAAGAAAAGGTTGCAACATAAAAGTGTCTACATTAAATTCAGTCCATATATTAATGTTTCCTTGTAGTGTCTATTAATAAGAGGTATAACACAATTTGTTAAATAGGGTCCTATAGAGTTATATCAAATTTTACACGGTGAAAAATAATTATAGCGCTGAAAGTAGTTATTACAACGACTTACAAGTTGGGCAATGACAAAGGAAACAACAAAAATATATAAAAACAGTAAACATACTTACTTTAGGTCTATCACAGTAACATGCTTACTTCAAAGTCCATTCTATAAAGCTCCGTAGAAAACTATAATACTACATACTCTTTAGGTCTTGACAACCTTCCCATGATTTACAATGGAATCACCATCTAAAAAATATAAAGTAAATGTAATTAAAAACAATATTTTTTTTAAAAACTAAATGTTACACAAATTTATATGTTTTTAAAGCGTGCATATCATATAATAAAATAAAATTATAGGAAAATAATTGAGAAATGTAAGATAGGAAGATTGGGAAGGAAATATGTGTGGATAAAACGTGTACTCACCACCTAATCACAGCACAAAGAAATCACACACTTTCAAATCCTTCCGCATCCTTAATTTCCAACATCATCATTCATTTCCACAAACACCAACAGAAATTAACAATAGTACTAACTAACAACCTTATTATTCTCTAACACTTTATATTTTTAACTCTGCAAGAAGCTATGAATTAGAAGAGAATATTACTGTTTGGCCAACTATTTTTTGGTCTTCTCTTTTCCTTTCAAGAAGTTGGACCAAATATTCCTTAGAAGCTCTAAAAAAAATAGCATACTTTTAGAGAAGAAAAAATAAAGAAAAGTAACTTGAAATGCACTAACATTACCCTCTAAGTCTTCCCATCATTCATAAACGCCTAACATAACATCACATATATAAACAAAATCAGTAACACATTCTAATATAACAATCATATTAAGCATGTTACAAACCACCACTGGACCTAAACACACACAAAATAAAAAGAGAAAGGGTGCAAACCTTAGAAAGAGGAGAGTGAATTATGCCTTCCTTCTCGTCGGGAGTCCCTATGACCAATGTCCAATATCTTTGATACGTAGCTTCACATGCATCATTCCAAGTCTAAAGTAGGCCGGGGAGACATAAAGCTCAAGTGTAAATATAAAATTATTGTTGACAGTGTCGTACCCCAAATTTGCCCTATCTCTTTATTTTTGTCTGGCTTTGGACTTTGCATGTGCGTCCTCTTTATGTCTAATCTTGTTTTGAGGTTTTCTTATCAGGTAGAAAGGAAACGTATTTGGTTCTCGATTAGTGGATCGTGAAACGAATTTTGTCATCACGTTGCAAGGTTGGTTCTCGCTCAAATTTATCGGAGCCTGGATTAGGGTTTATTTCCCACTACAACATTTGTTGTCTCTGGCAACACTTTTTTAGGTAACATGTAGAAATTGTTGCTTTAAATTCATACAGGCAACAATTTAAGATTGTTGTCAAAAATATGTTTGCAACCCTTGATAATCGTCGCCTAAAATACTTTTGGGGACGTTTATGGAGCGATACTCTTTTATTTTTTTGCCAACGGTTGTTAATTGTGCCCTTAACTGCTTTTGGGGACGATTTTAGAGCGTTAAAATATTATTTCTTTAGCAATGTTTGACAATTGTCCCCTAAAATATTTTTGGGGACATTTTTAGATTGTTACATTAGTTCTAATAAAAGGCTACATTTCTGAAATGTTGTATAAATTTTTTTAGAATTATCAAATTTTTGGTGGCAATCTTCCCTCCAAAACTTATACACTAAAAAACAAATATTTTTCTCTAAACATTATTAATATATATAAAAAAAAAAAATTTCTAACACAGGAATTTAAAAATAAAAAATTTCAATTAAACAGAAAATAAAAAATTATATATATATATATATATATATATATATATATATATATATATATATATATATATATATATATATATATATATATATATATATATATATATATATATATATATAAACTTATATATATTTCAATTAAACAAGAATTTTTCTAACACATTATTAATATTTCTCTAATTCCATAATTCCATCTCTCATCATTCAAAAACTACCCTTTTAGGGTTTTCAATTTCTCAACACTCCTCATTATTATTCAAATATCAAAAATCTCCGATATGGACGGAGCCAGCGGCATCAGTAGCGGCGGAGAAGTCTCATCCCAATTACCGGCGCCGACACCGATGCAAAACTCAAACTCGCCGCCTCCGTTTTTTAGCAAGACGTATGACATGGTGGATGACCCTTCCACTGACGCCGTAGTTTCATGGAGCGCAACCAATAACAGTTTTGTTGTTTGGGACCCACCGGAATTCGCTAGGGACCTTTTGCCGAAGTACTTCAAACACAACAACTTCTCAAGCTTTGTTAGACAGTTGAATACATATGTGTGTTCTCTTCCTTCTCAATCTTTTATCTTCTTATTTATTACAAGTTTTTTGTTAACAGTTGTTGCATTTTGCCTGATTGAATATTGAATTGGAAGTGATTACTGATTTTTTATGTTTTCTTGTATTTGAGTTAGTAACCTTTTGATGTGTTTGAATTTTGATCTGTCTTGTAATGAAGTGTGTACTTTGTGGAATTTTGTTTTAAAAACATTTTGATGTTTTTGCTCTATTGTGGATAAAGTTTGATCTATGATTATGCGGTGGCTGTTATTTGATTTACTCGGATGTATGCAAAATTTGTTCTATTTGGATCAAGTTTGTTTTGGTGAAATTAAAGAGTGGATTTCAATATACTAATGCTTTTGTTGGTTTAGCTTTGCCTGGAGAAGCAGGATCATGGCAGAGAGAAAGTAAAGTATGTATTTATATAACATTTTTCAAATTTATGTTAGAGTATTTTATGTGAAATTTTGATTTAATTTTCAAATTTGTCATTAAATATCTTCGAATAAAACTCGTGTTTTCTTGATTTTGGATTCGGATACATCTGAAACAATTCATAGAGTTATCAATTTTGGACTCGAGCAAATGCAAAGGGATACTTCAAAATAACTAATATTGTGCCAGACAACTATAGTTTGTATGGTTGGGTCCCTGGATTCATTGGTGATTATAAATCTAATTCTACAATCACCATCACCCCTGGTAAAGAATTTCTTTTACTCTCTTGTAGATTAACTTAGCACAAAATCTAATTATAATTTAGATTATTAAACAATTACTTGTTTGAATTTGTAGGAGGAGTCATAAACTTGAATTCACTTGTATACAATCCTCCAAGAAATGGACCAACCATTTGGGAAATCGGATTCCCATATCGATTGGCTTTAGAATTTCACGTTCCAGACCCTTACCCTACTCTTTTGAACAAATTATACTCCGAACAACGCAGAGACAAGTTAGTTAGTTCAAAAATCGTGAATTTTATAAAACTGAAAACATATCTTAAGCTTAAAATTTGCATCCTATTCATTTCAAATATTTTACATTTTACAGGTTTAGACAATATGGATTATGGGAACGTTACAGTGATATATATTCAAATGGTGATCTTGTTTACACTGTGGGTATTGACAAGAATATAGATTGGTTTTATGCTCAAGTTACAAGGTAATAATAATAACCATAATGTTTTTGTTTAGAACTATATTGTTACTAAATTTCAAAGAATTTTGATTCTAAATTGTATTGTAAACAGAATAACAGAAAACAAAACATATGAACCAATGACATGGCAGATTATATTTGAACATCAAAATGACATAATCATTGGAAACTATACATTACAACTAGCCTTAGCTAGTGCTGCTGATGCAAACTTAGAGATACATCATTACAAGTTTTGTTGATTTCAGATTAAAATAACTTTATATGCACGAAGTTGTTTTGATTGGATTAAATTTTCAGGTTCGGAGGAGACAATGCCATAGCAAGACATGGAATTCATGGATTGTATTGGTTGTTTAGCATTGATGTTCCAAGTTATCTTCTTGTGAAAGGACAAAATATCATCTATTTGAAGCAGTCAAGAGCGATTAATCCTTTTCAAGGAGTTATGTATGATTATATTCGGTTAGAACGACCTTCGATAACTTGATTGTGTTCAATTTTTATTGGCACTATGTGATTATAATAATATAGGAGATATAGCTAGAAACTAGAAATAATTGATTTATAGAATAAATTCAATCGTTGCTCTTGATACTTCTCTTAATGAATTCTATGGTTTCTCCAAATCCTAGTCCTGTTTTAATTTCACACATTTGATAGTGATTTGGTTTGAATCTGAATTGTGCTTATAAGTGGGTGACATGACAACCTTCGCCTTACAAACCAATTTTGTAAGGTTGGATTAGGACTAATCAAATTTGTAGGAATGGGAATGGCCTCAACTGAACTTATAAAGTAGGAAAATTTACTTTATCCTTCAATTAAAATAGAAGAGCTAGGGTGAGATTTGTTACTTTTGTTTCCTTGTTTCAAAAGAATGGATAGACTGTAAAATTTAAATTTGATATTCTACCCTCCTGCATTGTGTCAGCAACTAAATGGAGCTGAAGAGGGAAGTTTGACAAAGAAAGCCATTCTCAGGTTAATATGTTACTTGATTATGGTTTACTGACGCATGCATTGTATATTTAATGTCAAAGGCATATATACACTGTATTATGTGAGGTATTATAATACCTAGCTTAAGTAAGGCATTAGATAGTGAATTGTTATGAAGAAGATTTTAGGGTTCTTGGAGAAATGTTTGCTATGAAGCGGGTATTGGCCCTAAAAGGGTTAAGGAAATTATAGAAGTTGTGGACGGTAAATCATTTTCTTGTTTCATTTGATTTTATATAAAATGATGTATGTTAAAGTTATGTTTTGGAATTCCTTTAGATATATTATTCCTACTGTTTTTTAATGAATTTTTACAAAAATTAGAAACACCAAAAAAAGGAACTCAACAAGAAAGAGTTCAAAAGGTTGATCACAATTTGGACAAAGAGACTATTGCAAAGAAAATGGAGATAGACAAACTCTCGCAATCAAAAGTAATGAAAGATCATGCACATGGTGACAAAGAAGTTGTACAAGGTAAGTGATTTTTAAATTTTTCTATTATGCATATATTACATGAAATTATTCCTAATATCTTTTGGTGAATTTTTACTAAAATTAGAAACACCAAAGAAAAGAACTCAAGTGAAAGCTACAGTGAATAGAGAAAGAATTCAAAAGGTTGATGGAAAATTGGACAACCACATTGCTATGAAGAAAGCAGAGAGACCTAAGCTTTTGCAACCACAAGCTAAGGAAGTTCTTGCACATGGAAACAAAGAAGTTTCACGACGTAGATGAAGAATTTATGGAGGATGACATATCTAACGAATTTCAAGAGGACGATCTGGATGCTTTACTCCTAGAAGACAAACTTGAATGAGTTGGATGATGTCTTTTTTTTGGCTTGTAGTTGAAAGCATTAAACTTGAAATATGATTTTTGTTCTTTTGTTGAACTATGTTTTTAGTTATTTTACTAGGGTCATACTTCAAAGTATTAAAAGTAATATTGTTACGTTAGGCATTTTGTGTACTCTATATACTATATCTTGAATTAAAGTTTGAACTCGATTTTATTATATTACAACTTTTATGGATGTATGGTTTAAGTTATATAATCAATATTATTTTTGAAGCCAATTATTATTGACTATATTATTTTGATAATAATTGCAAAATTGTATATTTTATGTGGACACTATAAAACAACAACTTATAAGCTATGGCTACACTTCAAAAACGATCTTCCTGATTCAGGTTTAAGGCAACGATTGTTAATTGTAGCCGAATTTGGCAACGCAACGCTTAAAAAACATTGTCTCAGAGGCTGTAAATAATCATCCCCTATTCCTTTACTATAGGCGACGTTTTTCAAAAGCGTTCCCAAAAAACATAAAAAAGCGTCGCCTCAAACAATAGGCAACGCTCGCACAGGAGACGCCTAGAAAACGTCCCCTATTGTTTTAGGCAACGATTTTCAGAGTTCTGGCAACGTTTTTCAATTGTTGCTGGAGAGCCTAAATGTTGTAGTGTCCCTATGGATGTTGGTCAAGATGCTAGGGTTTCGAGTTTTTGGTTTCTGTGAAGATGTTTCTTTCGCCCACCTCGAGGATGGCTCAAAGCTCAGTGCATTAGGTCAAGAATGTCATCCCCTCGCATTTCAAGTTTCTTCTTTAAGTCTCTAAGCCATTGAGTCGAGAATTTGAAGTTTGAATTGACAAATGTGGAGTTCGAGCACTTCAGGAAATGAGGTTAAAGGTTCATGATAATCAGGACAAATTTTTGTTGCTTAAGTTACAAGTTATTATGGGTTGAATATCAAAAATTAGGTTTCTGGTCGAGAAGTGAAAGTGTGGTTCAGGCATGATATGAAGATCAAGGTTCAAGCGACCGGTGTTTTGGGTTCGAATTAACCAGTGGAATTAAATTCTTAAGCATTTATTTTGTTTGAGAGTTTGATTGGATTTTGAAAGATAAGGCGCGTGATTTGTTTAGAATACAAGTTATAACAATTGCTCACAATTTCTTGAAGTTTAAGTTACAAAGTCAAAGGATGCATTCAAATCATTCAAGTGGAAATTGCCACTTTTAATCAAAGATCAAGAGTTGTTTAATTTCCATACAAAAAATTCATTCAAAATAAATTCATTCAAGCTTGTGTTCATTACATTTTTTTAGACGAGTTACAAGGCTTGGAATTACAAGTATAATTGCGGTTTACAAAGCAAAAAACAAAAAAAAAAGAATTGAATGTCTTGCTTCATCTTCAAGAAATTCATCCGCTCCTTGCTAGCTATGGCCTTTTCATCTTTTAACCTTTCCTCGATCATCCAATCCTCGGGTTCATGAAATAAGGAAAAAGAAAAAAGTTAGCAATCAACATACGAAAAAAAGAAATTCCAAACAAGAAATAATTGATAAAAAGAATCAGTGCCTCATCATAAGGGTTCACATTTAGAATCAGTTAAAGAGGTATTTATTTCTAATCATGGACCATCTTCTCCTAATTCCAAATCACAAAAAGTTTTCCTTTTGGTTCACAAAGAGGAGAAAGAAAATTGCAAACATTTTTTTTGTTGCTAAAGTGAAATAGTCAAACTGCCAACAACATATAAACAACCAAAGAAGTGCAGCCCAAAGGCCCAAGCGCACAACATATCTGAACAACAACAAAGCAAACAACAACATAGCTACAATAAGCAGGCAGCACAAAAAGCAACAGAACAATAGCAGCTACTGCATCTCAAAAAGAAACCAAACAACATTGTAACAAGGCCAGCAAAGCAAATAATAACAACAAACACAAGCAAAAACAGCAGCGGCAACATGCCAAAGTAAAGCAGCAAAATCAGCAAGTACAAAATAGCAATGATTCAATAATATAAAAGGCTAACAAACAGCCAAAACCTCAAATGCATCATTTTCCTAAAAGAGGCAAACCCTTCAGAAATATTAGAGGATAAAAAGCAGGTTGCTTTACATCATTGAAAGATAAAGAGGAAAGATAAAACCTGCAACCAAAACAGTCCCAAAACAAAGAAACAAAGCCTTGTTTCCCACTGCTATAGAAGAAAACTAGTATGCACCATGTCAAGCCAAAACCTGTGCAAAACCTCACAAAAACAGCAAAAACATAACCTGCACCAAAAAGTACTCAAAACAACATCATAAATTGTTCAAAACCTCAGCAAATTTCCCCCCCAAAACCACCCATCAATCTGCCTATAACTTGCTTCATTCATAGTGAGCAAAGGGGGGATCCTTTTTTGACACAGCCTAAAAAATCCAGCAAGAGAGTCCACTGAAAGGAAATTAATTACTGATATAGAGAAAAAAGAGTTTTGTTCAACAAAAAATCAATAGAGAAAAAAACACAAGAGATAAATCAGCAGAAGAAAAACTACTTCATCTTTCTAAATCTCCCTGCATTCTCATCCGCAATCTAAACCTCTCTAAATACTCAAAACCTAGCAAACAAAAGCTTTGTCCTAAAAATACTTACCACCCCTTTTGAAGCCTTATCTGCAATAGTAAAAATCAGCACCATCGAACCAAAACAGGGCGCATAACAAACACCTTCATCAATAGCATACCAAATTGAACATACATCATCTTGCTGCAACGGACCTTCAAACAACTTCACATCTTCATGTTCAAATTCGCGAACCTCTTAGAATCATCTTCAGACTTCTGTATCTCTCCATCTCAGATGCTCAATCTTGCACAAAGGCATTCAACGATCAAAATTTCAGAATCATAAATCGAAGGAACAGAAGTACGAACTGGTTAGAAGGAGTGAAATATTAACATGCATACCTGATCCTCTTGCTTCTATAATAGCATCCAAAAACGCATCGGAGCGACTCCGATCAAGTAAGCTTCAAACACAAAATTCTCTTCATATTTGAACTTGTTTCTTGCTATATTTCTATGTGTTTTAAACTCTTTGAAGCTACTCATGTTTAAGACTGAATCTTCTTATGTTTGAAATCTTTGAATCTGCTTGTGTTATTTGCTTAAATCTGCTTGCATCAAAATAAAAATGAAATCACAGTACAATTAGCAAGTTTGAGTCACGATGATGAGCTAAGAAGAAGGTAGAGTATAAACGGCGGAGGGAGTATCCTGAGAGAGCGTCAGAATATAAAAAAAGAGGTAAGGGTTTGTATAAAGTTTGAGAGAGAGAGAGAGAGCAGAAGAAGTTTGTTGTGCGAGGTGGGGAAGTATTATTGCAAGATTGAAGTTTTGTTATTGGAATCGGTTTCCAGAAGAATCGGTTGTTGAAGATGCAGAGTATGGTTTTGGGAAAGAGATGAAGCAATCGATCATAGAAAAAAGAAACGTGTAGTTTGATTTAGTGATGGAGGCGCTGAGAATTTTTAGGGTTATATTAACCCGTCCACTTTTTTTAGTTAGATAAGGGTCGGACCTGGGTCTGACCCGACCCGGTTCCTTGTAAGCCCAATATTTGTTTTTATTTTTATATTTAGCCTAGCTGATTTTTGTTTATGTGACCATGGGCCAGTCCGTTTTATTTCATCCATAA